TTTCCCTCACCCCCAGGCAGTAAACACTAAGCAAACCATCCACAAGAAATTAACATATTTTCCTCCATTTTCTTCAGCTGGCTTTTTCCAAACAGCAGATACTTAAAACAGAGCAAATGGACCATCAAACACTGACCTACACTCCAAATGGGAGACTTGGGAAAGGAACTGCCTGCGGCGGCCGAGAAGACCCAGCCCCAGCAGGCACACATGCACGTGTGCAGGCGTGTGTGAGCACATACGTGTGTGCCTACAGAGCAGTTCACAGCGCATCCTCAAACTGGCTGCCCTCCTCCCAGCAGGCTGTGTCCAGGTTCAGTCAGGAACCCAAGCTGCAGCACCTGTGTCCCAGCTCCATGCAGAGTTCTGGCACCAGCCCCATCTGCCCTCATCCCAGGGGTGCCTCTCCCTGGAACTCATGGGGGACCCAGGGTGTGTAGGGCACTTCTCCAGGGTCTGAGCATCAACCGGTCACTGAGGTGCCAGCTAGCCATAGCCATCCCAGAAGATAGGCACCTCCAAAGAGGTGAGGGGCCAGCCCGGGCACCAGCACCTTCCAGGAAAAGGGGATTCACAGCCAGGCTTCTCCTCCTGGCAAAGGGCCTCAGGTCAGGGTCCCTCCCACCACTGCAAAGGCCACAGGGCATCTCTGCAGTGAGGGCCTTAGGTTTGCTCATCTACAGAAACCACTTAATGCTGAACAGGAAATCTGCACCCCACAGCTCTGTAGAAGCCTCCAGCCATACACTCCACTCCCATGAGAGAAGGCGCCTATGGCTGTCTGTGAGCATAACACTGCACAAATAATGGTAATTTATGAAAGAAAATACAACCATTTGATTTAGCAAGAACGCTTTTCAATCAAGCCCTAATCCGCCTCCCGGAGTCCCACTGTCTAAGACAGGGCTGACATGCTGCCTCCACGGGCTCGTGTAGCCCCTGGACCTCGATTCTGGAAGCACAGACTGAGAGGCAGAGGGGGACGGGTGGAGCGCAGATCTGGGGGACCAAGCGAACCCCGAGCAGTCACATGAGCCCTGACTTCCTCAAGCCAAGTCCCTCCTGGCTGGATGTCACCACCCAGCATGGTTAACATTCCAGGACCCCCACGCTTGGGTTCCATTATCAGCAGATGGAGATTCTGGCCCTGCCTCTGCCACTTCCTGGTGGTGCAGCCTTGAGCAAGTCACCTAAGCTCTCTAAGCCTCAGTTTCCCCATCAGTGCAGCAGGACTCTCCTGCTGGCTCGAGGACTAGGAGGGGAGCCACCCCCCACCATGGTGGCTGAGGTCCCCAGAATGGGGAGGCTACAGGGGGCGCAGGTCCTGATCCCTTGGTTGTCTGTCTGTGGTACTTGTAGAAATTCCATGTGAAAAAAAAAAAAATGGCCAATGATGCATAAAAACAAAAGTTAACTGGGATCAAAAGAGAATTTAACTGGGACCACCATGAGAAGAACAAGCCCGGTGACCTTCCACCAATGCAAAACCCAAAGAGGATTAATCCATTTCTCTCAAATCAAAGGATTGCAATTGGGCAGGCCTAGGTAGAGAAGACCGCCTGAGCTGAGCAGACACATGTCCTGGCCTGCCCGACCGCCCAGAATCTCAGGGCCTCCAGGAAAGAACAGCATATACACCAGCAGCGAGTGGGCTCCTGAGGCCACACATCTGGATGCACACAGGTCTCAAGGACAGCGTGGCTTGGTTCCCACACACACCCCAGCTGGTGTGGGAATCTGGGACCCCTGGCCGATCCAGCCCCTCCTCAGGGAGTGGGCTCTTACGTCCCCGAGCTCTGAAGCCATCGTCTTCTTGCTGCAGATAAGGGCTCTGCAGGGAAGCCAGCTTGGCGTCCCAGAGAGGCCCATTAAATGCCCTTGACCCCGACACTGGGCACACACTGTAGAATTTTTCTTATGTTATTTTTATGGCACTCAGGAAGTGATGAGACAGAGACAGCTGGGCGTCCTGGCCTGGAACAACCCTGACACCCTCCAGGTGCCCAGCCTGGCCCTGCTTCCCCACAGGCACCTAGAGGTATGGTGGCCCCACAGACTCCTCCCTCCATGGCCCCAACGGGGAACTACTTCTCACCTGCCTCCCCACCCAGCATCTAAAAGCATCCGTCCTCAGAGCGCTGTGCCCTCGCTCGGGAGCTCTGCAACACACAAGACCTGCACAGCCAGCCCCCTCTCACCTCTCTGGCCACCTGGCACCACCTCTGCCAGGCAGGAGTCCTGCTCTGGCCGCCTGGCCTCTGGGACGTGGGCTGACGGAGCCCTGCTTGGCCCACCTCTGTGGAAGCACCCACTTCCCCAAGCTCCCCGTGGGCACCGGGCCTACCTGTTGGGGTTGTACTCGAGCGCGCCGACCTCCTCGCTGGCCTGCAGCAGGTCCAGGATGCCCGCAGCCGAACCCCCGCCACCCTTCTTCACTTTGGCGTTGCGGGCGGGCTTAGTGTCCGTGTCTATGTGCAGCGAGCCCTCGTCAGAGGAGTCATCACTCTGCTATGGGGACAGAGCAGCCGGTCGGAAAAGGATGTGGGGGTAGGGGTAGGGACGACTGTTTCCCTTCAGTGAGAAAAAGGCGTTTTTAAAGAGCCTGTCCTTGTAATGAGCACCATGGGGCTGGCTGACCAGACACACAGAGCAGCGCACAGGTGCCAGAGCTCTGCGCTGGGATCCTGGAGCCCTGCCTGCACCATTTCCCCAGGTGAACCTTGGTTCACAGGACCTTACATGAGACCCCAATATTGAACATAGATACAAGAGGAGTCGGCGTGGTTGGACTGGGAAGCTCAGTGTGCCTGCACCTGAGGGACACCGGTTAATAGCCCCTGGCAAGTGGCTCTGCAGAGACACCTTGGGCTCTGCAGGCAGGGTATGACCCCAAAAGGGAACCTGGCTTTCTTGGAGACGGCCACCGCATCCTGGGTTGGACATGCATGGCCTTGGAGGACACCTAACTTAACCCCCACACGTTTAGTGCAAGACCCAACCCCCAGCAGGTCTGGCCTGCTACTCCCTGTACCCGAGTCCTCCGGCATCAAGGAGATGCATTATCTTCACCGTGGATCTGACTACGGAGTGCGGCTCCCAAGGCCCCACCACTCATAGAGACCTGCAGACCTTCCACAAGTCCCACATCTGCTTTTGTCCCTTTGTGCAGGGTCCCGGGGCTCAGAGCTCCACATGTGGAGCCCAGCCAGCCTCCCCAGGAAAACGTCCCCCTCTGCACTCCACCCAGAAAGCTCACTCACCCAGAAGGCACTCGCTTACCTTGTAGAGAGCCGAGTCCAGCTTTGGCTTCGTAATGGGCGTGGGCAGCGGCTCCTTCTTGTCCAGTAAGACTGAAAGCAGAGCGTGTGGGAGTCAGCAGCAGTTTTGGAGGAGCAGAGGGGGACCCTGGTCCAGCCACACCCGATGCCCACTCCACATGCCTGAGATGGCCTTTATGGGTCTGGGCCTGCCCCTTCCCCATGTCCCCCCAACTCACAGGACAAGTCCCTCTTCGGAGCATTTTTCTTCCTCCTAATAGGAAATTCGTCAATCTTGAGCTCCCCGTCATCCGACACGTACTCATACTCATCCCGCACTGGCTGGGGCTTGTCCTCCTTGAAGTTCTGCAAGGCTCCAAACACCCCTGGGCCTGGCTGTGGCTTGAGGGCCTTGGAGCTGGGGCGGCAGAAGTAGGCCAGTCAGTGGACATCCACACAGCCTGGCTAGTGCCCCCAGCACCAACCCCCACAGGCCTTGGAGGACCAACAGCCAGGCTGGAGCCTTCCCAACCCCACAGCCTCCTCTCCAATGCCGTGACCCCAGTGAAGACAGCGCACAACCCACAGGGTATATGCCTGGCCCTTTCTCGGGCTATTTAAGGTTGTGCCCCTCACTGCCCCCTCACCCTAGCCAACGGATGAGCATGCCTACTTTCAGGCTGCCCTGGGGTCTGATACAAGCCCAGTGTCAGATGGAGCCAGTGCCAACTGGCCTGGGTTTTCTACATAGCTATTCCAGAAAAATAATTTCAGGGCCGAAGTGTAGACACAATAGCCTAAGAAGTTTCACATAACTCATCTCTCTCCTGGGGCAAGACAGGGCTACTGCAAACGAGGAGAGTCCAACGCTCCAGCCGCTGTCTCCCTGTCGGCTGAGGGCACAAGCGCACACTCAGCAGTGGGGACAGCAGGCAGGGCACAGGCATCTGCAATTCTCAACAGGTACAGCTCTGATTCCCAACAATGGAAACACAGAGGACGGCTGGCAGTGAGCCCTGCTGGGTGTAGTCATGAGCTACATAACACAACACCACACACACGTACACACACACCCAGGTACATACACACAGGTGTGACATAGTTATAGAATCATGTCTCCCTTTCTCCCTTTCATTTCTAAACTCTGTAGCGCAGTCGGTCAGTCATAGAGTTTATGCTGTGCAAAAGCTCCCCGGGACCTAGCAGCTGAGCTTCAGATAAATCAAGGACGTGCTCAGGGCCATGAAGTCAGGGCAACCGGGCCCCTGCAGATCAGACCCAACCCACCTGCTCACCAAGCAGCCTTGGCACATTGCCGTGAGCTCTTGGGAATAACAGGCCCACTTATGCCAGGCTCTTCAAGAGCACAAGATGCTGACCAGCTCTGTTCCCCCACCACCTAAAAATGGCCTTCTCCCCCCATCTTGCAGATGAGAAAACTCAGGCCTACAGCAGAAAAGTGGCCCCATTCCCACTGGGACGTGTCTGCTTCCTGATTGCTGGGCACCCACCCTGGACTTTGGATTCAGTATACAACTGGGTGTGGGACCGAAGCCACCAAGGGGCTTCTTGGTGGGCACAGGGTGTCTGGCCCACCAACCTCCCATCTGGCCAGCCCACCACACTGGTCAGCAGATGGAGACCCCTTATACAGTCCAGAACCCGGACACACCAGCTCACACACACATACCCTCCCAGGCTAGGTGCCCCCATCTCTCAGCTCAGTGCCATCTCCTCCAGGAAGCCCTCCCACCAACTCCCTTGGACACACAAGGCCTCCACAGCACCCCAGGCCCCACAGATCCTTCTTCCATGGCCCCAATCACGGCCATAATTTTAGACGGATTTGAGAGTGTTGGATTAATACCAGCCCCTCCCCGCTGGCCTCTAGACTCCAAGGCCAAGATCCTGACCCCCACCATGTCCTCTGTGCCAGCCCAGGACAGCCACTCGGCTAATATCTGCCCAATCACACTCTCCTACTCCTTGCTGGCGCACACTACTGCCCCCTCCCCACCTACCCAAGCATTCTGGCTTAGGAGGCAGGAAAGGAGTCTGCCTGGAGGCCCTCATGAGGGGTGTGCCAAGCAACAGCAGCCAGCTCAGAAGGGGGACTCACCGCGGAGCCCTCCAGGAGGGTGTATGTGTGTGTCGTGTGTGCACAAGCAGAGGATGTGTGTGTGTGATGTGGGGGGGCGGTGTTCAGGGTATGTGTGTGGCATGTGGCACACGTGCAACCAACCCCTCCTGGCACGAGCACTCACGTACCCTAGCAGTTTCTTGTTGGAGAAGGAAAATGAGAACTTGTTGTCCTTGTTCCCTGACAGAGGAGACTTCTCCAACTTCTGCTCTTCCTCCATCTTCAGTAGGGAGTCAGGTTTGCTGTTCTGAAAAGCAAACCCAGGACCATCCCTGAGCCCCACACAGGCGCCCAGTGGGCAGAGGCAGCTGGACTGGGCAGCCTTCTCCCTCTGACATGTCACCTGGGGACCCACTGCAGCCCCAGGCCCGCAGGACCTGCCCTCGGATGCTGCCCAGCTCCAGGGAGTGTGAGCTTGAACCAGGGCAGGCTACAAAGGGCAACGCCATCCATGCTCTTAGGCCGAGATGTGCCCACGCCAGCCCCTCAGAAGGTAGCTCCATGGAAGCCACGTGCACACCCAGACCCTCAAAGACCTTCACGGCACTGCCCACCTGCAGACAGGCAGACACACACCTGACATACCCTACAGGCACACACACACACACCACCAAGTCCACACTTGCCCCACACACCACCTTCTTTCACTAACATAGCCTTCCCTGAGGGTAGATTCACTCACCAGCATACCTGTACACACACATCTCACCTTGTACTTCCACTTGGCCTCCGACTTGCTCTTAGTCTGCTCTCGGATTTCCAACCTCTCCACGTCGTTCTGCGTGCTGATAACCTCTTTGTTGGGCACACTCAGGACATTCTTTGTGGCCTAGAAAATACTAGCCATTATCTGGTAGCGGACATGGGTGGGCAGCAGGCCTCCATGAGGCTACAGTACAAAGTGAGAACCACACAGCACAGAGTCCCTGCCTCCTGCTGGCCTACATGCATCAGCTAATCCGTCAATCAATCTACCCAACCACCCAACCAACCAACCATCCATCCATCCACCCACCCATCCAACTAACCATCCATCCAACCACCCACCCATCCAACTAACCATCCATCCATCCACCCACCCATTTATCCACCATCTACCTATCTGCCCACCCATCCAACCACCACCCATCTATCTACCCATCCATCCACCCACCCATCCACTCATCCATCCACTCATCCATTCACCAACCATCCATCTATCCACCAATCCATCCATCAAACCATTCACCCACACATTCATTCATCTACTCTTACTCCTCCCTCCCTTCCTTCCTTCCTCTCTCCTTCCTTCCTTCCATCCATTCATTCATTCATACATTCATCTACCCTCTTCACCTTGAGGAAGGGAAAACCAATGTGCCCCACTTAAGCCCTGCAACACTAGCTCCAGTGGCCACCAAACCCCTGGGAAGTGAGCAATGACCTCCCACTAACAGGAAATCACTCAATGTGGCCTGGTCTCAGGAACTCATGGTCCCCAAAGCCCACACCTAAGACCCTCTACTCACATTGGTGGGTCCTCAGGGCCAGGCCTGCCTCTCTCACTGCCGCAGGGGCTCAGGCCCCCAAGGACACCTGCCCCCATCACCGGCTCCACCCCTGCCTCCCCACTGCCCTCCACTGGTGCCTTAGCCACCTTCAGATCTCAGCCAATGTCTGGGCCCCAGGGAAGACTCAGCCGGCTTGTCCCCCCAGATGACCCTCAGTGGTGCCACCCTGGCCCAGCAGAGACTCTGCTGCCTGCATCGTGAGGGTCTCTCCCCAGCTGCCCACTACACCAAGCTTGTTGGGGCAGAGCCCAGCTGCCCTGGGTCTCTAGCACAAGGACATGGCAGCCCCAGCACCATCCCACAGGCCTGGTGCTCGGAGGTGTCTGCAGGCCTGCTGACTATAGGTGGGGAGGGTGAGGCCGCCCACCTTGCCCTTCTTAGGAGGCTCAATCTTGGTCAGTGCCTCCTTGGTGTGGGCCTCCAGCAGGTCCAGGTTGGGGATGGTGGGTGAAGCCGAGCCCCTGCACTTCTTCCCCTTCTTCTTGCTTCCGTCCTTGAGCTTCAGTGATTTGGGAGGCTTGGGGGGCTTTGGGGGCTTGGGAACTTTGGACGGCTTGGGCATCTTCACGGTTTTGGGAGTCTTTTTTTTGGACACTTTCTCCAGGAAGGACCGAGGAGGGCTGGCCTCAATGGGGGATGGGGGCTCCTCCTTTTCTCGGTCCCCAAAACAGACCTCGTCCGAGGAGACGGCCGCAGTTACTTCAGGTCGGGAGGCCTTGGAGGCATTCTAGGAAAAGGACAGGGAGAGGTGACCAACCATACGCTGCCAGGAGGGTCTCACAGCCCCAGGCCATGGGAGACACTCGAGCAGAAAAGGAGCATCTGTCTACATCATCAGTGACATGCTCACATTCATCCTACAGCATCTGTGTGACAGGCTCACATCCATCTACACCATCCGTGAGGCAGGGTGCCATCCATCTACATCACCAACCACTTGACCCCTTTACCTCCTTGGTGGGGACTAGACAGGCTCACACAAGCAGGGTCTCAAGGGGCTGAAGTCCTCCCTGCAGAGTCCTTCCCTACCCCCACAGGGAGCTGGAGGGAGACCCCACACTAATTCCCAGGGCTCCCGCCAGAAGACTGCAAGTCTTCCACCGGGACCTAGGAGTCCAGAGCCATCACGCAGGTGGCCCTGCCCCAGAGGGCTGAAGGAGGGGCTGCCTCACACATGGCCATCTCTGGAGGGACACCCAGGGAAGACAGGCAGAGGCCTCCCTCAACCAGGGTCAGCGGGCCCCCAGGGTCAGCCCTACCTCACTGAGCCGGATCTCTTTGGCGAGGTCTTTGATGAGCTGCGATGGTTTGAAGTGCTCTGGTAGTTCATCCTCATGCTCCGCCAAAGCCTGCAGGACAGCCACGCACAGGGTCAGCGGGTCAGCCGCCGAGTCTGGGCACTGATGCCCACCCACCCTCCACCCACAGGGGCCCCAAGCAGCCTCAGCTTCTGTGGTTCCTAACTCATGCCCTCTGTCCTTCCAGGCTGTCCCCCCATCTACCCACCCAGGACCTCCGGCCCCACTGCCGTCCCAACAGGCACAAGGGCAGGTGCTGCCAAAGGTGTGGATTGGCTGCATGGGGTCCTAAGGGAGTTAGCCCACTCTGGCCAGACACTGCCCCAATGAGAAGGCTCTGCCATGACTCCACTCTACAGGTGGACAAACAAGTCCCAGAGAGGAGGGGGTGCCTGAGGCCACCACCAGTTGTGAAGTGAATGTGGGCCATCCCTTCTTCCTGGGCATGAGGCCACTCCACCTGGCCACACAGCTGATGTGAGGTAGGAGGGACACCCTGCATTACTCCAGGCCTTGAGGCAAGAGAAGATGTGGCTGAAAGAGGGCTCTAGGAGGGTACTTGCTGCCCCACCTCCTGGACTCCCCACCCCCACAAGGCCTCCTGCGGGCCTGATGGGACCTACTCAGACTATGCTGGCACCCCTGATTGGGTACCAACAATCCAGGCAAGATGCCAAAGGAAGCTGGAAGCTGCTTCTCTGGAGCCTCCATTAGGAGAAGTAGCTGCTGCACGGATGCTAGTGAGGTGCTAAGGCTTTACAGTGGGGGCTGAGGTGGGGCCCAGACATGCTGCTTCAAGGGAGCCGTGAGGGGCAAAGGGCAGTGCTACTGTGGCGGGG